CCCCCTCCGACCTCGGACCTCCGACCTCCGACCCTCCGACCCTCCGACCCTCCGACCCTCCCTCCCCGGGCGACGCTCCTGTCATCGTTCCCTCCCTCCCTCCTCCCCCCTCCCTCCTCCTCCCCCTCCTCCTCCTCCCCACCGGTTTCACGTTCTTCAGCTGGGCTTCAGCTGACCTCTGCGCGAGGATCTCGACCGACTTGCGGTTCATGTCGACGCCGATGAAACGGCAGCCGCTGCTCCTCCTATCAGCCGCGAAGAGGTAGAAGAGCAGCTCACGGCAGCACAGAGGCGAGAGGGAGGAGGAGATTGCCTGAGCCGCAGCCGAAGTCAACGATGACAGGAGCGTCGCCCTGGTCCTTGAGGTCACTCGGACAGGACAAGTTTGTCGGTCACCTCCCAGCCTGCGAGGATTTCTCGGAGGAGGAGGAGGAAACTCTCCACTTGCTTCCTGTCTGCGGGTCAGCAACATCAACGAGAGCAGAAGCAGAAACCGCTTCCTCGTCGCTCTGCTCTCCGCTGTCTCCATCTTCCTCTCCCGTCGCCGCTTCCTGCCGTCCTCCTCCTCCTTCAACGTGAAGTCTGGCCGGCAAGAGCTGGGGATGCTCTCCCAGTCTATCACGAGCTGCTCGGGGCAAGACAGCTCCCGCCAGGCGTCAGTTGAGAGAGGAGGAGGAGCGAGGCGATCGATGACCTGAGCCAATTCAGCGGCGACGAGGAGCAAGGCAGCAGAGACAAGCAAGAAGATGAAGACAGAAGAGAGGAGAAGGCGTGGAAGGAGGGAGGAATAGGCACTAAAAGGAGGAAGAAGACCTTCTTCAATCCTTCTTGATTTCTGTCGATTTTCCTCCTCCTCTTTCGCGAGTTGTGAGCTTTCCGTACCTCCAGGCGAGTCTTCTTCTCCTCCTCTTCTCTTCGCCTCCTCTCCTCCTCCTCGGTGTCAAACTCGCTCCGTTTCTTGGCTCTCGACGCTCGGAGCCTCGCGCGCGCTCCCTCTCCCATCTCCTGTCCCTCGACGCTGTCGATGACGCGCTGGACGAGGGAGGAGTGACGGACCTTGAGGAGCGCGTAGCCCTGGTGCTCCTTGTCTGCGTCCCTCCTGCTTCTCTTCTCCTCGAACGCCACGACCAGCAGCTCCGAGATCGCGTCGCTGACCCTCCTCTCCTCCTCTCCTTGCAGTGGCAGCTGACCGAGAAAGCGAGAAAGCGCCGCCTCCACCTTATGCATGGGACTATGCCAGTCAAGGAAGCCGACGTAGACCCAAACGTTCCCGTCCTCCCTCCCTCCCTCTCCTCCCTCCCCTCCCCTCCCCTTCCCTTCCCCTCCCTCCCTCCTCTCCCTCTCCCCCCCCCGCCCTCCCGAGTGAAGAAGGAGAGCAACGATGCGAGATGATACCGCGTGCCTGAGCGGGGAAGATGATGAGAGAACATCTAGAGAGCTCAAAAATGCCTTCACCTGATCTCACTGCTACTCGAACGACGAAA